GTCTTTCATAGATGCAACGGGCATGGACGGTGTTGTCGGTGCAAGCCCGACAAAGCAGGACATGTTACATGCCCAACAATAGCCGACAATATAAGCGTTTAAGATGCTTAGTGGTTGGGGGTGCATGCCAATGCTCGAGAAGAAGTTGGATCCAACATTGCAGAGGAATGCCTAGGCGTTGCCGACCGACGAAAAAGACAACTATGTTAGACGTTTGGCAGAAAGGCGACACGACATCGTTAGTGACTAGCGGTGGTGAAACCATGGAATCCAGCTATTCAACCAGCATCGGCGTGTGGTTCGCTAGTTAGAGGTACACAGGGCGGCAACTGCGGGCTGGCGGTCCTTCCCTTCCCCATGGGAAAGTGATATAGATGTTGTCAGGAATTTCAGCTGAAACCTGAGAGAACCTTTATTTTCTCTCTCTTCTTGATCCCTCAGATCTCTTGAATTTGAATCCATGCCGGTTGAGGAATCAAAATGTTTCTTTTTACAGAAGGAATAAAACTTCTTTAAGAGCTTGGAGGAACTAAACACAAAAGGAAATTCCACCATAATCATCAACTTGGCTTCATTATATCTCTATCCTGAGTGCTAAATTAAAGGGTTCACCTCCACCTCCATTCATGTGTAGATTTTCAGGGAACAACTAGTGTGGCAATTTGTTACCACCTTCCAATAGATTTATTTTTTAAATTGTTTGTCCACCCCCACTACATACATGGTCTTTCATGTGTCTGATGAAGCGGGTCTGGACCGTGCTACCGGCGCAAGCCCAAAACGAGACAAAGCGGGACATGTCGCATGCCCAGCAGTAGCCGACAATATAGGCGTTTAAGATGCTTAGTGGTTGGGGGTGCATGCCAATGCTCGAGAAGAAGTTGGATCCTACATTTGCAGAGGAATGCCTAGGCGTCGCCGACCGATGAAAAAGACAACTATGTTAGACATTTGGCAGAAAGGCGACACGACATCGTCAGTGACTGGCGGTGGTGAAACCATGGAATCCAGCTATTCAACCAGCACCGACGCATGGTTCACTAGTTAGCGGTACACAGGGCGGCAACCGCGGGCTGGTGGTCCTTCCTTTCCCTATAGCAAAGTGATATATATATGTTGTCAGGAATTCCAGCCAAAACCTGAGAGAACCTTCATTTTCTCTCTCTTCTTGGTCCCTCAGATCTCTTGAATTTGAATCCATGCCGGCCGGGGAATCAAAATGTTTCTTTTTACAAAAGGAATACAACTTCTTTAAGAGCTTGGAGGAACTAAACACAAAAGGCAATTCCACCATAATCACCAACTTGACTCCATTATATCTCTATCATGAGTGCTAAATTAAAGGGTTCACCTCCACCCCCATTCATGTGTAGATTTTCAGGAAACAACTAGTGTGGCAATTTGTTATCACCTTCCACTAAATTTATTTAAATTGTTTGTCCGCCCCCACTACATACATACATGGTCTTTCATGTGTCTGATGAAGCGGGCCTGGACGGTGCTGCCGGCGCAAGCCCGAAACGAGACAAGGCGGGACATGTCGCATGCCCAACAGTAGCCGGTAGTAGAGGCGTTTAAGATGCTTAGTGGTTGGGGTGAATGGCAATGCTTGAGAAGAAGTTGGATCCGACATTGCAGAGGAATGTCTGGGCATCGCCGACCGACGAAAAAGACAACTTTGTTAGATGTTTGGCAAAAAGACAGCATGCCGTCGTTAGTTAGCGATGGTGAAACCATGGAATCCATCTATTAGCCCAGTACCGACATGCGGTTAGTTAGTTGGCGATACATAGGGTGGCGACTGTGGTGTGGTGGTCCTTCCCTTCCCTATAGCAAAGTGATACAGATGTTGTTAGGAATTCCAGCTGAAACCGGAGATAACCTTCATTTTCTCTCTCCTCTTGGTCCCTCGGTTCTCTTGAATTTGTATCCATGCCGGTTCGGGAATCAAAATGTTTCTTTTTACATAAGGAATAAAACTTCTTAAAGAGCTTGGAGGAACTAAACACAAAAGGCAATTCCACCACAATCACCAACTTGACTTCATTATATCTCTATCCTGAGTGCTAAATTAAAGGGTTCACCTCCACCCCCATTCATGTGTAGATTTTCAGGAAACAACTAGTGTGGCAATTTGTTACCACCTTCCACTAAATTTATTTAAATTGTTTGTCCGCCCCCACTACATACATACATGGTCTTTCATGTGTCTGATGAAGCGGGTCTGATTAAAGGATTCACCTCCACCCCCTTACATGTGTAGATTTTCAGGGAACAACTATCGTGGAAATTTGTTACCACCTGCCATTAAATTTAAGTTAAATTGTTTGTCTGCCCCAATACATACATACACGATCTTTCATAGGTCTGATGCAGCGGGCATGGACGGTGCTACTGACGCAAGCCCGAAACGAGACAAAGCGGGACATGTCGCATGCCCAACAGTAACCGACAATAGAGGGCGTTTAAGATGCTTAGTGGTTGGGGTGCATGCCAATGCTCGAGAATAAGTTGGATCCGACATTGGAGAGGAATGCCTAGGCGTCGCCGACCGATGAAAAAGACAACTTTGATAGACGTTTGGCAGAAAGGCGACACGACATCGTCGCTGACTGGTGGTGGTGAAACCATGGAGTTAGCTACTCAACCAGTATCATCGCGGGGTTCGTTAGTTAGCAGTACACAGGGCGGCGACTGCGGTGTGGTGGTCCTTCCCATCCCTATAGCGAAGTGGTACAGATGTTGTCAGGAATTCCAGCTGAAACCTGAGATAACCTTCATTTTCTCTCTCTTCTTGGTCCCTCGGATTTCTTGATTTTGTATCCATGTCGGTCCGGAATCAAAATGTTTTTTTTACAGAAGGAATAAAACTTCTTTAAAAATTCGAAGGAACTAAACATAAAAGGCATTTCCGCCATAATCACCAAATTGACTTCATTATATCTCCGTTTTGAGTGTTAAATCAAAGGATTCACCTCCGCCCCCGTGCATGTGTAGATTTTCTGACAACAACTAGCATGGCAATTTGTTGCCACATTCCACTAAATTTATTTAAATTGTTTGTTCATCCCCACTATATACATACACGGTCTTTCATGGGTCTGATGCAGCGGGTATGGACGGTGCTGTCGGCGCAAGCCCGAAATGAGACAAAGTGGGACATGTCGCATGCCCAACAGTAGCCGACAATAGAGGCGTTTAAGATGCTTAGTGGTTGGGGTGCATGCCAATGCTCGAGAAGAAGTTGGATCCGACATTGCGGAGGAATGCCTAGGCGTCGCCGACCGACGAAAAAGACAACTTTGATAGACGTTTGGCGGAAATACGACACGACATTGTCGCTGACTGGCGGTGGTGAAACCATGGAGTCAGCTACTCAACCAGTATCGCCGCGGGGTTCGTTAGTTAGTAGTACACAGGGCGGCGACTGCGGTGTGGTGGTCCTTCCCTTCCCTATAGCGAAGTGGTACAAATGTTGTCAGGAATTCCAGCTGAAACCTGAGAGAACCTTCATTTTCTCTCTCTTCTTGGTCCCTCGGATTTCTTGAATTTGTATCCATGCCGGTTCGGAATCAAAATGTTTCTTTTTATAGAAGAAATAAAACTTCTTTAAGAATTCAGAGGAACTAAACATAAAAGGCATTTCCGCCATAATCATCAAATTGACTTCATTATATCTCCATTTTGAGTGTTAAATTAAAGGATTCACCTCCGCCCCCTTGCATGTGTAGATTTTCTGCAACAACTAGCATGTCAATTTGTTGCCACATTCCACTAAATTTATTTAAATTGTTTGTTTGCCCCCACTATATACATACAGGGTCTTTCATGGGTCTGATGCAGCGAGCATGGACGGTGCTGTCGGCGCAAGCCCGAAATGAGACAAAGTGGGACATGCCGCATGCCCAACAGTAGCCGACAATAGAGGCGTTTAAGATGCTTAGTGGTTGGGGTGCATGCCAATGCTCGAGAAGAAGTTAGATCCGACATTGCAGAGGAATGCTCAAGCGTCGCTGACCGACGAAAAAGACAACCATGCTAGACGTTTGACGGAAAGGCGGCACGACATCTTCGCAGACTCGCCGTGGTGAAACCATGAAATCCAGCTATTTATGAGTACCGGCACGCGATTCGCTAGTGAGCGGTACACGGACGATGACAGCGGTGTGGTGGTCCTCCCTCTCCCTATAGCAAAGTGATACAGATGTTGTCAGGAATTCCAGCCGCCGACCGTGAATTAGCAACGCCGAAATAGTGATGGACGTTCCATAAAACAAAAATGACATACTTTGCGTCCAAGGGCGCTGAAATTCCCGAGCACAAGGAGGTGTTTCCCGCAAAAGCGCAGCCCGGCGGGCGGGGAATACGGGGGGAGGAGAGAGAAGGGAACAAAGGAAAAGGAGGCAGCAGGCGGGCGGGCGGCTCGCCTCAGCCTCAGCCTCAGCCTCACCGTAACGGAGCAGCTCTGTCTCTCTCTCTCTCTCCTCACTTTCCCTCTCCTCCCGAAAAGGCAAAGCGGAAAGGAGGCAGCAAGAGAGAGAAAGAGGCAGCACGATACGAGTAACAACCAGGAGAGAGAAACGAGGAAAGAGAGAGGCAGAGGCAGAGGCACCTCCCTCCCCCTCCCCCTGCCGGCTTCCCCTGCTCTCCCCCTGCGCCGGT